TACCATAGTTTACATTACAATGTCTTGAGGACATGTTTGCAATAACAACTGATGCTGTGTAGTCCCTTCATCAGCCCACAAGTCCTCGCCATCACGATCAGCTTCGACACTCATGACCTGGAGAACTACATTTTGTTATGTTGCCATCAGCTTCCTGGTACATGTACATACAAACATGGTCGTTGTCCTTTTTCGCCACGAACCGTGCTCGGAGAAGCTATGGAGCACCAGTTGTTTCTTTGAATGTGGTTCAGCTCTGCGCTGCTCACATTGAGTACAGTTTCGGCAGGAACTAGTTGTCATACTTACATGTACATACTTCACCATTAGCACGATGCACTCTGCACTTCTCATGTACTGATGTAGTTGTACATGATTGTACTACATGTATTATGATGATGTATGTGAGTGTCTCCACAAGTAAACAATGTTTTCTCAAAGGCAATACCGTGACCCCAGGGGGGGGGCCCGGGGGGGGGGGGGGTGGTACTCTTCCTTCTCGATTTCACGAATCATCATCAAGCAGTTCTAGTCCAATCATCCCTTGCCTTCTTCCATGGCCAGTGGTGATGTCTAGCATCCCCTGAAGACATTTGTTGGAAAAAGATTGAAGAAATGCGAAGTTTGGCGTATTAATAGTACTGTATTTGGCGTCCATCATGTCTGAAATCAGATGGCATGATGTTCCTCACTCATTCATCTTTGGGGTGTCATCAATGTAGGTTTGCTGTGGTTTGACTGTCCGCGCATGATCAGCTTCAAATCAAACCTTGGCCTGACACGTGACTGTGGTCAGAAGGACTGGGACGGGCACTAACCATGCTGTGTTGGGTAACACCAAGAGTCAATAAGCTTCAATATGTACTCTTGGTCAAGGATGCGGTTCATAGTGCTGTTACTATACTAGCCCTTTCCCAAAGATGCCAAAATATTTCGCAACTTATGCTTGTCGCAACCATGCCAAATGAAGTTGAAGACGCCACTGCGTGTGTGGGCAGGCGTGTGTTTACCGCCATATTGCCAGGTGTGTCTTTACCACCATATTTATCAAGCAACCATGCCAAAACAAGAGAAAGTTGCTGAAAAAGCATCCATATTCTCAGAAAAAGCTCGAAAGTTGCTGATATCGCAACTCAAAATGAGCGAGCTCTTGTGCATAATATCATAGCATCATTGCTCAGTGCTTACTACTACCATCCACGGTGGGCAGAGCCGGTTCAAATGGTCGCAAGACTAGGGCTCTGCCAACCATGGATGGTTGTAGTAAGGTCACTGTTTCCAAACACAGTGGTCCTCCGCCTTGTAACATGTTTTTGTTGTTGTTGTTGTTGTTGTTGACTTTTATTTTACTTCACCAATGGCACAGGCATGATTGCCTTCTCACCGTCCCATAGGTCCGGTTCTCACAGAAAGATGAAGGATGCTGTCAACCAACAATGTATGTGATAGTATAAAAATTGTGTACATGACCTTTGTTACATTTTGTACATGTACATGTACATCATGTACATGTTCTTCGAGAAGTACACTTGTTATTATTATTATTATTATTATTTATTCTTCTTTTACTAGGGAATTCCCAACAGGCGTCAGCGCCTTTTTACAGGGAACCCTAGGTATAATTTGATGGATGAGCGAAATTCAGCTGGTGAACTAGACATGCGGCAAGCCGGTGGAAGTGTATTCCACCTGGCAGCGCCCAAATAAGAAATTGCACTAAAGCCATATCGGGTGTTAGCGGGGGGGCAGACCAAGAGCAGCAGAGACTTGGCCACGGGTGGTGGCTGCAGTGCGAGCACCATGGGCGCGCAAGGTAAAGCGGTCTCGCAGAAGAGGACTAGCAAGTCCATTCAGGCAGCGGTAAACAAATACATAGGTTTTGAAGTTGAGACGTTTCTCAAGGGCGTACAAGTTAGTATGACTGTATAGAAGAGTGGTGGGAGTCATTCTATCCAACGAAAATATTCTCTTTAATGCTACGCGGCTGGCAGTAAGAAGCTTGTCATATAGGGTTTGTGATAAGCAATGAATATATGCAGTGCTGCCAAACTCAAATGTGGACTGATATGATGATTTGATGCAATTTTTCAGCACTTCTTCTTGAAGCGGAGCATCACGGATACTTCAATGGTCTCCTCCAAGGCGCTTCTCTGCTCACGGTTGCGGAAAGCTGCGAAGTAGTTCGTGAAAATGAAGAAAGTTGCGAAAGTTGCGATATCTTCCCAAACAACCAAAAAGTTGCGAAAAAAGTGGCGAGCATCTTTGGGAAAGGGCTAACTGTTACACAACGTTTGTTTGAGAGACTTGCTCCCTCTCCCTGATTCTCTAAGTCTCTTGTGAGGTCTGCATTCGACACTAGGATATATGACTCTTATGAGCGAAGTTAAAGTAGTGGCCCACCCGGATGCGAATGTCTTTGCTTGATGGGTTCATCAACATGTCAGGTGATGCGGCCGCGAATCCGGCCAACTACTTTTTTACAACTCTTGATAACACCCCTGGCATGTATGGTGTGTCTATGTTGTCATCAAAGAGGTTCCCTGGCTTAAAGGGAAAGTATACCCTAAAATCAAATTTTCACCAGTTGTAGTCTTCGGGGTGCTGAGTCGAATGGTCTTGGTCCGAGGAAGCTGAGACGCTCCCTTCCTACTTGAATCCCAATCGAACTCGCGCACTTCCACCGAAACTGGGTGACTGCGCCCTACTAGATGGGGATTTGTATGCAAAATGTCACTAAAAGCGCCATTTCGTTCTTATAAAAGCACGGATGACCGCGATTGGCCCATATGTTGTAGTCTTTTGGACGCTGAGTCGACTGGTTTTGGTCCGAAAAGGCTGCGATGCAGCGTTCCTCCTTTATTCCCAATCGAACATGGTTGAACAAGCGGTCACGTGCTCCTGCGTACACCAGTCACCTGGTCACCGTGCCTGCAGGGTACAACTTACTAGCCTGTTTGACCTTTTTTGGGTGCAGTCCCGTCACTCGAGTTGAACTCGAGTTGAACCTTGGTGTGAAAGTTGTCGCCTGCTGGCGCGGTGACCAGGTGATTTGGGCACCCAGGAGCACGTGACCGCTTGTTCAACCATGTTCGATTGGGAATAAAGGAGGAACGCTGCATCGCAGCCTTTTCGGACCAAAACCAGTCGACTCAGCGTCCAAAAGACTACAACATATGGGCCGATCGCGGTCATCTGTGCTTTTATAAGAACGAAATGGCGTTTTTAGTGACATTTTGCATACAAATCCCCATCTAGTAGGGCGCAGTCACCCAGTTTCGGTGGAAGTGCGCGAGTTCGATTGGGATTCAAGTAGGAAGGGAGCGTCGCAGCTTCCTCGGACCAAGACCATTCGACTCAGCACCCAGAAGACTACAACTGGTGAAAACTTGATTTTAGGGTATACTTCCCCTTTAACTGTTACTTAACCAGTGGAGAGAGCTCAACACAATCATGTAGAGCACGCTTACACACGCTCAAAAATAAGTCGTCTGATGATTGCATTGTGCAGAAAACTCGAGTTGTGACTTACTCTGCCAACAAACTTCCTTCGTGCCTTTTGTGTATGCTGTTGTCATGTACATGCTTGTATAAACTGCGGCGTTTCTGGACTATGCACTAGTGCCAGTGGTTTGAAATGACTGTGGCCAGCAGAATGTTGTGGGTACGTGTTCTCGCTGGTATGGGTACATGCGAACAATTACGTAGGCATATTTTACCCGTACACAAATGGTGGGAGACTGTGAAGATTTCGGGTGTGACTGAAATTCGAGGCATTGGGCCAATCTTTAGACAACATTGGTCACTGTGAACTTGTGTTCCTCTTCGTGTGTGGATCACTTTCGCAAGCTAGCCGAGGACAACTTCGCTTTGTGGTATCGTTAGTTTGGGCATCCTGCAACCCTCCATCCAACTAATACTTGTCTTGTCACGGATTGCCTCAAATGCCAGCTAAGAACACATACTACAGCAGCGCTGGAAACTAAGCTCCTCACTCCATTCCAAGACCCATTATGCTTTACACCGTGATCTCAGTCGAGCTAGTGTCGGAAACAATTCCAAATCTCCTCCACTCCACTCGCTCCAGTACTGTACTGCAAAATAACACCCGCTGTGGCACAGATATGGTACTTGGTAGCTAATGCCTGGTGGAACGGACTCTACTTTAGTCTGGCCGTCCAATTATGTGGCTATTCACATCAAACTCGCACTGACTGAGTGCATTGTGGTATGTGGAGTTGCTGCAAATGAAGCCTGCAAGTCCTGAGGATATCAGTTCAACTCCCACACGTACACGGCCGCAGTGGACATTTGAAACAGATCTAATAGTAATACCTGTTACAGGATCAGTAAACACAACCAAGAGTCAGCCTGGCAAAACGATCGTCCCTAGCATATACCGTAGACAGTCAAATAATTCAAGCTTTAGTCCAGTTTAGAGCTACATTGTACATGTCTGTTACTTACATCGCTTGTAGAAGGATTGGAGAATACACACTGACGCTTGAATCACGCTGTCCGTCGCACTCTCCTGCATGCACTGGGCCTGGGCGAGTGGGCGCTTTTGAGTGTGTTGCGCTCGCGGCTCCCGACACTAGCACTGTGGTCGGCACTTGACAACGGTCATCAGGGTCCAGTGACAGGTACGTACAGTAGGGGGGCCGACTTTCCAGTCTTCACAGTGCTGGTACGGGCTCGTGTGATACCCGGGTGCCTGTACTGTAGGGTGGCAGCTGGTTGTCACATTTTGTAGCCTCTGCGAAGGACATCAGGAGTCGCCAGCTGCAGCTGAACTCGCCGATCCGAGTCTTGACTTGCGTCCGAAGACCGACATCGCATGCATGCAGGAATCCACGCTGTTGATGGAGTAGATTTTATTGAAGCGGCGACTGCCTGTCGTACTTCCACTCCTTGGAACTCACCCAAGCCGATGAAGCTGTCCGATGACCATGTTTCGTCCTGACTCCTGATCTTAGGACAACACGGCCGTTCCGGGCTCACCCGAACATCTCCAACACAGCTCCAATTGAAGCCCAATCGCAGGGGTTGGGTGCGAGGTCCTGACACAGTCTGCTCTCATGCGGGCAACGGTCGGTCAGTGGATGATCAGCTGTCTCCGAATGAAAAGTGGCACGTCGGTGATCGATCAGTATCCAATACCCAGACACCATTATTCTCAGACCTAAGACGACCCATTGTACATGTACTAAAACATACGGAGTACATGCAACAGTACAGGCATTATTGGCAGCACACTTCTGTGCATAGAACGTGATACAGATTCGGTTCAGGATAGGCCCATCTGTACTGGCGATCCGTAGATCTACTGTACTGTTGAACCCCCACCTCTGTATGTATGTGCACTCTTTGGCATCTAGCCTATTCTAGGCCCACACTGTACACACGTTGCAGCGGTGCATTGACTGGCTGTGTGTGAGAGTGTGTGAGAGAACTGCTCCATCTCGCCTAGTGCTTGCCGATAGGCGAAAGAGGACGAGCCCGGTGCAAAGGCACCAACGAAGCTGAAATTGCTGCAGCTTTGGAGTCCGCTGGCAATATCATCCACCAACCATGGCGAATCGGTGAGTCCGGAGTTTGTTTAGCGATTTCTGTGCATTATTGTTCATAATGAGACCATATGCCACACACACATACATGTATGGACAATGGCTTTCATAGATCCATACAAACAGAAAGTTATGTTTGGATCAAGTAAACTCTAGTCAAGGCTGAGATGATCTATGCACGGGCACCAGGATAAAGACCCCTGCCGGATGCCTGCAAATGAGATCAGGTCCTCCCGGCAAGAAGGTCTGCAATGACAGGCATTCTTCTTCCACCATAATATGCATGCATGTACAATTGTACATACATGTACATTTGGACCCAGGCAAGAATATACATATCACGAGGCATCAAAGATAATACCTTACCAACGAAGGGAATATGTGCCTTCCAATGGGCACTTGAACTCGGCCATGCCAATGATCTGAGAAAGATACCTTGGTCACGGCGCTCACAATCACATGTAGTCATTTTGACATAAGTTACGTGATGGCAATGGCACTCATGTTCATGACAGCAAGGTGTGTTATAGTACAGTCAGACCTCGCTTATCCAGTCCTTTATTATCCGGATCCCTCGCCATCCAGAAGAAAATGGCTGGTTACAGATTTACAACACACGTGATGCATCCAACATAACCGGTGTTCGGTTATCTGGTTCCCTCGCCGATCCGGATGATTTGTGGAAAACGAACGTGTGCGGTTATGCGAGGTCTGACTGTACTGGCAATCCAAACTCATGAGCAAGGCAACACCAGGCAAAACATGCGTGCCACAGTTGCCGTAGTTGCATGCAAACCCGCATGCGGTTCTTCTGCCGAGACGGCGTTGGTGTTCAGATGTTGCAGGTGTATACAAATCAGTGTTGTGATTACGCTGGTCGAAAAGGCGTGCATTCCGGCATGGTATTGGTTTGGGTCGGTGATCAGTGCCCCACTCCGACCAAACATACTCAACGACTGCAGTAGCGTACACTGGCATGTATGCGTTTGCCCACGCGCATGTGTGTGTAAATGTATATGTGCACACACATGAAGTTTCTTGCCTGGTTAAAGGCATATACCTGACCTGGGTGTCATAGCATCCAGGGAGATGGCAGCCTTGGAGGCAAGCGGAAAGGGAGACAGTGTGAGTTACATCCCGGGAGTGCTCTTTCGAGGTTCTCTTGGAGTGGGACCAATTTTGAGCAAGCATGCATATACCATCACTGGCAAGAGTCATGCATGTGCCAGGTCACATTGCCGACTGCGGCCGTGTCCTGCATAGATCGAAGAGATCAAGTCGAACTTCCAGTTCCGGGTCAAAACCCGCATTGTTGTGGGCGCCATGGCCTCACGAGTCATGCTGTCTCCCCAGATGTTACGAGTCGCTGCTGTGAATGCACTGATGTACAAGCTGATGCCCACACATTCACACTAAGTCACTCACTCGTCCACAGCAGAGAGTCGTGCAGGTAGAGAGACGACCCAGGCGACTGCAACGGATCATGTGGAACACTTCCGAGTCCATGGTCAAAATGCACATCATTTCGGGCACTATGATCTAGTGTCGCCTCGCTAGGTACTATGGCTTCGGGATGTACCCCCCCCCCCCCTCACACACACACCTTGACCTTTGATGCCCCATCTCCAGTGGAGATGATAGGCTACCAAGTTGGGCAGTACTTGAGGTGATGCTTCAAATCGCCACACACACACACACACACACACACACACACACACACACACACACACACACACACACACACACCAGACGTGCGCCGCGGAACACGCACATACACGCACATAATGATTGTGCAGTCATGCATGGCCAACGCTACAGTCACGTTGGCAAATGAAGTAATTATGGGACGTGACTTGATCAGATCATGAGGCGCAGTCATGAGTCTTCTGGGCTACGGGGCCTCTGAAGTTACTTTGCTCATTGGCCACCACTGCAGTGCAGGCAGATGCACCACTGAGCACCAGTTTCACCAGTATACGGCATTTGTTGGCAATACTGGCCGAGGCGCTTAGTACTGGTTGCCGGCGCGGGATCATGCATTTTTTCAGATGCCCATGTCAATCACTTATACTGCTGGTGGCTGCATGTCGCTCTGATTGTCGGACTATGCCGGCAGAAAAATTGGCAAAATTCGGTACTTTTTCTGGTACATGTCATGCATGTTTGGAATGGGGATAAAAAAATGAAGCAGAGAAGGAATTGCCTGCCATAAGGTTTCAGTTGTATGGTTCGGCCAATTTCATTGCTTTTCGAGCAGAATCTGGCAATTTTTCGAGCATTATTATCCGCGAAGGCCCGAAGGGCTAGTGGTTACAGGAGGAAGCGTTTTCTGGCTTTGCCAATATCTGTGGCCCTACGTTTTAGTATAGCTGGCAAAATCCAAAATCCTTCCCGGGACCGCTGCCCGCTGGTGTGCATGTACATTCATACTGTGATGTGGTTACAGCGCCACTAGTACGCCGCACTAGCCGCAGACATGTCAAAACGTACATTCTACTTATCCTTCATACAATCCACTCTTGAGTATGCGAGTAATGCATATGTACACTGTCTTCGCACCACAGAATATGATAACCTGATCAAGATCAGTAAACGTGCATTACGGATAGTGTTTGGTTACCCCTCGTCCTCCCATTCAGCCCCAATTCTCGCATTCTTCTCTTTAATGCCAATTTCAGTCCGCTTCAGTTTAAAATTGTACTCAGTTGTTTTCCGTTGCGTCCTAGGCCAGACCAGTGTCCTTCTTCGAGACCTCTTTGTACTTCGCTCTTCAGCAGCTAACACTCTGCAATGTCGGACCCGCCTTCACTCCTCCAATGGTCTTGTTTTACCCCGAGTTTATTCACGCTACGGTCTGTTTTCTCTCTCTTATTTGGCTGCAGACAGATGGAATAGTGCTCCATCTGATATCCGCACTGCTGCATCGCCATCCCTATTTCGCCATGCATTACTTTCATTCTTAGGGTACCCTGTAAGAAGACCTTGAGTCTGTGGGGATTGCCCTATCAAAATATGAATAAAATTAATAATAATAATAATAATAAATATCCACTAAAAAGAAAACAGAAAACCTTCGTGTGTTCAAAACCTCTATCCTGCACATTTCCTAATCTTAGAGTTAGACACGACTGTATGCCGCCGGTAACGGATGGGTCCATTCTAGGGATTTTCTTTTACTACTTCCTTAGAATAACGGCATAGCTATCAGTATCCCTGCTTGATGTTTCGTGAACTAGCTGGCTGGATGAAGGGCAGAGCATTCACCATTTCACGATCATGCCAGTCATCTCCTGGCTAGGGACCGGCGGATAATGCTCGAAAAGGTGGCAGATTCTGCTCGAAAAGCAGTGAAATTGGCAGAACCATACAAACCTTATGGCGGGCAATTCCTCGAATTCTGCTCCATTTCTTTATCCACATACCAAACATGCATAAAACTTTCCAGAAAAAGTACTGAATTCTGCCAATTTTTCTGCCGGCAGAATCCGCCGGACCCTACTCCCGGGCCCTAGGCCTTGGCGGATAATGCCGGCAGAAAAATTGGCGGAATTCGGTACTTTTTCTGGTAGGTTTCATGCATGTTTGGTATGTGGATAAAGAAATGGAGCAGAATTCGAGGAATTGCACGCCATAAGGTTTGTATGGTTCTGCCAATTTCACTGCTTTTTGAGCAGAATCTGCCACCTTTTCGAGCATTATCCGCCAGGGCCTACTCCCGGCCCATGTCCCACCCCCATTTGCGAGACTTTGACCCCTGTAAGGTCAAAGTCCAAAGGTTGGACCGTACTGACTGACGTCATGACAGTCTGTGTTTCACCTACATGTATACCGGTATTCTTTCCATAAACGGAGGGATTTCCCCATATGTTCGACCCCCACGTGGCCTCCTTTCTTCAAAAAATCGGATCTGTTTACTTTTGCTGTTTGCAGTGTTTGAAGCCTCGAATTGCGAAGCGCAGTAGTTGTTCGAGACATGAAATTCCGACAGAAATCGCCCGAAGGGAGCGTGTGCTGGAAAGATATTGCCTTCGTTGAGTCATGCAGTATGCTTGGTCCAAGCTCATTCCATTTGCACAGTGAGCATTCTGTATAGTTGTGCTGATTTGACAGCAGGATAATCCGGCCATGATTGCAGATTCGACAATGAATTTTGTCGCTTCACCAAAATTCATGTAATAATTATCATTTTGAAACAAGAGAGGCACGCCGGGATGTTGAGGGTGGACCAGTTGTCTGTGAGACCTTCTTTTGTAAGTTGAGCTATATAATAGGCTAGAGTATACCTGCCACAACCGGAGGCGGAGAGATAGGTTAGCAACACTCCCGCAAGCGAAAGTGATTTGTACCATGTATTCCAGCCCTCTGTGGCAGGATTTGCCGGTGTAGTACCAATAGCATTTATTACGGAGGCATGGTCCCTATGGGGGTACAAGGGGGAGGGGGTAACTTTTGAATCTCATCTTGGGTCTTTCAGTTTTGGCCATGCTGCCGCAGTCGTGCGAATTTGTGATTTGATGTGTAAATGTATGCGCACTCGCGCGCGTGTGTGTGTGTGTGTGTGTGTGTGTGTGCACGCACGCGTGTTGTTTGTCTGTGTCTATCTACAGGCTAATCGTCATCCTCGCGCTAATAGGATTATGTGTATTTAGAATACATGGCCAGGGTATGTGTATGTGTATGTAGAATACGTGGCCAGGGTCTGTGTATGGTGGGCTCAATCTGAATCTCCAAGTGACGATTACCGGTATGACGTTAAGTTCTACACACACCACCCCATACTAGTAACTAGGTCCAATCACAATCTGGCCGGGATCCCATTGCCGAACATCATGTCCAGCACACGTACAGTGGCCGGAGCTCACTGAAATCCGACTCCAAGTGCAAAACTGGACCAGTTCCGATTACACCACTGTACTTGTACATGTGTGCGTCCAGCCGCATTCCTACCACTTACAGGGAGTCAATGGCCGTGCAAGTTGAGGGCGCCGAATGCGTACTCTTGGTCGGATATCACCGATCACAACTGTACATGTATGCATCACACTACTTGATCATAGCCTGGGTACAACGTACTGAGGATAGGAGTCGATGACGTACCTAGGGTGCTGGCGGCGAATAGTGCTCTATGCACTATCTAGGCCAGGGTGCACCACACAACAGTGAAAACAACAGAGACCCCGTAATCCTGTGGTGTGGCTGCACTCATGGCGTGTATCCAACCTGTGTGCATGTTTCTGTGTCTCTCTCATGTTGCAGTGGTGGATGTTGGAGGAGAGAACTTCGACCTCAACTCCGATGGTGAGCCCTACCCACCAGTGTGTGGCATGGCTATGTGTCTGCTGATAACACTATACAGGCGCGTAACCCGCACGGGGAAGGGGGGGGGGGCATGTGCACCCCCCCCCCCCCCCCGAACAATTTTGACCTAGGTTCAGCATGCACATAATGACCATGAATGACATGCACCAGCCATCCTACACATACCGGTATGCGGCCATACACCCCCTAAACCCTGCATACTAGTCAACCTCCTGAATAACGACCGCGAGCATATCAAAAACTCGCAAGTATTACACAATCTTCAGACCTAGTGGCCATTTGACAGCATACCAATATTTTCAACCTCACGAATAACGACACTTCTCTCTTGCACAATCGAGGGTTGTGATTCGCAAGTATGACTGTAATTCACAGTGTATGCAGTGAGTCCTTTTGTCCTTCTTTCATATCTGGCTGGCTAGTGTAGAGTTTTGGAAAGAGAAAGAACGGCAGTCAGGTGGCCTCATTTCCTAATACATTGAGTTACAATACGTAACATGTACAATAAAACCTGTCAAGGCGACCACTCGGATAAGGCAACCACCTGTTCCAGAAGACCACCGCAACCAGGACCAAGGGGTGGCAGTTCCAGTCAAATGACACTGGATAAGAAGACCACCTGGTTACAGAGACCACATGTTGAAGGTCCCTTGAGCGGTCGTCTTAGCCAGGTTTCACTGTATATCTGTTGTAACTCCCTTTCTGTTTATGGTGGGAGTAATTGTGCACCTTCCGTACAGTCTGGCGTAATGACAATGTTAAACTTACCGTCCTCTTCCTCTCTCTCTGCTCCGTTCTGCACTGTGTGTTCCTACAGTGGAAATTCAGCCAGCGCCAGTCGTAGCGGTAAGCAGCCGTAGGCCAACGAGACCTCGTGCACTGACAGCAGTACATGTACATGCTCTGTATGCTTCTATGGACCCGCTGTACCGCAACCTTGCTGCATGCTCGGTGTCCTCAACACAGAAAATAGACAGTAATTTAGCGTTTTGTACATTGAAGTTCCATCGTCAGAAATCGGGCTGTGGACTGATGGAGTACATGTACCAGGATAGTTATTATGACGGTGCCTATATGTCACAGTATGTGTGCTGTGGTACCGAGTGAAATCCAGCACATGGTTTCCCACCGTTTGGTGCGAGCAAGGTGGAAAGCATATGAGAAGCATGAATAGGACAGACGAATCCATGCTTGCACCGAAGCATGTGAAGCCTGGGGCTGGACTTCACTTGTCACATTGGTGCAGCTGCGGACTGATAGTGTAGAATGTGTTGGCGCCAAAGAAAAGGCCAGCAGGTGTAACGACGTGTTACGTAGGAGATTCAGTGTACAAGGCAAATATAGTATGAGAAACATGGTGGATTCCCTGCCGCCATGTGGAGGAGCTTGATACTGTGCTTGTTCTGGTTAGGATCTGGTAGCGATACTGTATTGGGGCTTTCCTTGCTAGTGTAAATCAGCAATTTTTCGTCAACATCTAACTTTCGCAAATTTCGTAAGGGTCTGCAGCTTTTCCAGAGTTTCTGCTTACGAAAACCTTGTATAATTCTAACATGCATACATTGGGTACCTGTCCAAAGTCAATTTTACTTTAAAAAAATTACGAATTGGGGATTTCAAGATTTACCAGCATCGTACGCTTAAGCTGTGTTCACAACTGGCGCGTGGACGCGGTACGCTTGCGGTTCATGCGTGCCCATACGCGTGCTCAAGCTTTCACAAAAAACAGCAATCCGAGTCGTATTTAGCGCGTGTGACACCTTCGAGTACTAATTTTTTGACCCCGCCGGTCAAAGTGACTGGCATGTACGCTGGTACGCGCCTGATACGCGCTGAAAATTCCAACATGTTGGAATTTCCATTTCAGCGCGTTTCCGTACGCATGGCGCCCCAAAAGCCAGCAAAAATACGCACAAACGCGTGGTTTCACGCGTACACGCGCCAGTTGTGAACACAGCTTTAGGTTTACCAACATTGCATGTTTCCGGAAAATCGTTGATTTGTAGTCCTGTTGGATTAGCATCATAATAAACTCTTCCAATATGCCTCCTCTGTGTGAGGGTAGCAAACCAGTCTATACTTGCATCTGCATCAGTTTCTTCCCGCACGATGATTTTGTGGACCTCTACCTCGCTAGAAGTAATGGCTAATGGCACCAGTGCCTTCTGATTTGTCCGTGTTCCCGTATATATTGTAGCCACCAGAAGATAGCACGGAAGTAGAAGAGCCTGCTGGTGTACCGCAGGTGGTCGCTCCTCCTGGCGCGCCCATTGCCGGTCCCTGCTGTACTGATAAGGGCCAAAAGGGACAGCCTGGCAAGGATGTTTATGGCACGGTTAGTGTTCATGCTGATCACGTTAATATGCTCATTCTTGGATGCATTTTCTGTAACTGTTGTCCTGGTGAGGGAGTCTTTCATTGAAGCGTGCATGCTTCTAAACTTCCGAGCGTGACGTTTAGCCGTCTTGTGTCATGTGTACGCATGCTTGTGCATACCGGTATGAGTGTGCTTGTATGTGTTGTGTCTGTCTGTTGTTTTTTTGCTTCTTGGAGACTCACTTGCTTCGTATTTGTTCTCTCCCTTGCAGCCCGGAGAGAAGGGACCCAAAGGCCCTGATGGCGCAGCAGTAAGTTTCATCAGTGTTTGTGTGAGCATGTGACTGGCTGCGACTGGACATGCGGTCGTTGACATGTACAGACGATGTGTTGCTGACAGCCAGCAGTCATGTTATCTTTAGTTCTTGTGCACCTAGCACTTGACTTAGGCCACCCTGTGGTGGCTGGTACAGTAAAACCTGTAACTAAAGACCACCGTGAATAGCGACCCACCTGGTACTACAGTAAAACCTGTAACTAAAGACCACCGTGAATAGCGACCCACCTGGTACTACAGACCACTTCGCCAGGCACGGTCGGTTTCATGTTCATATGATGGTTGTGCGGTGCAAACCTCTAACTAAGGACCACCTGCCACTAAAGACCGCTTTCTCTGGCCCCAAGGGGTGGTCGTTAGTCACAGGTTTTACTGTACATGCAGATTGGTGACTTGATGTGCATAGAACTCCTTCACTACTTCGCTCCTTCACTTTGTGCACTTTTAGAATCCAGTATCAATCGAATCGGGTCTGTCGGGTCATGCTGTGTATCTTCTCAGAGTGCTACTGTCAACATCATCATGCTGCAGTACTAGCACAGGCGATGCAAGTGGCACACCTTAGTGACCTTTTCCCCGAGCCCTCTTTTCACGACCAATAGATTTCGGGAGTATTGTCGTACTGCTAGTAGAAGTGCCTTGAGCGCTGGTGCAAATGTTGGCTTTGTAACCAAGTGCCCAGGCCAGCTTTGCTGCTGCATCACCACACGTTTCTGTGATCATGCCGGTGGCATATGCTTCCTCTGAACTGTGTTGCATGCTTTTTCATCTAAAGTAGTCAGTTTTTCTTCCGTGCTCCACGCTCCATCACTTACGTTTTGTTTCTTGCTCGGTGTGAATGTATTGTTGCAGGGTCTGCCCGGTCTGGATGGCGGCCAAGGTGATGCTGGTGCCACCGGTCCAAAGGTAACGCTACCAGTTTGTTTGCTTCATGGATGACGAAAGCCTCTTTTGCGGGCACAGAAACACAATGAATGGAAATGCAATGCAAAAATTGGTAAAAATAAAGAATGATAAAAATGAAAACCCAGTAAAACAAAGGATATTGAACCCAAAAGCAAAAGCTTTATGGATGTTCTCAAATAAGAGTCACTTTTTTCCGCACAATAAGCTTCAAGGCCAAAGACGAGTTGTGGCTTGCAACCCAGTATGCATTTCTATTCAAGTTAACACATGGCAATGGTTGGACAGGGACCTAGAACAAGGATGCGGCTTACATACCGCACATGTACATGTTGATATACGGTACATGCTGCTGGTGTTCTTACTTCGAAGCACATGTTTGTGGTGTGCTTCGAAGTAAGAACCGTACAAGCTCCATTGGCTTTACTCAAGAGAAGGCAGCGCTGATTGGTAGAGCCTTGTTCGCAGCCTTTTGAGCTCGTGAGGTCCGGCGTATATTGACCACCACTTCACTAGTATCTGTTCACAACCTTGTGCGAAGTCGCTATGAAACTCTCATGTTTCAGAGCGACTTCGCCTTGGGGTCGGAATGCCTGTTCTCTTTGTAGCATAATCTCGGTGTTATATTCCAACAGTTTCTGGAAGACGGCTATTTTCATCCATGGGAAGCCCAGTGTTGTGTGTTTGGCTAAACCGAGCAGTCCGCCAATGTATTGACCCTTGGCATTAGCTCGTCTGAGGTTGTGAAGAGATACTGATGAAATGGTGGTCAATATTGAATATACACCGGACCTCACGGGCTCTACAGGCTGCGAACAAGGCTTTACCGATCAGCGCTGCCTTCTCCCGAGTAAAGCCTATGGAGCGTGTACATGTATGGTCCAATGTGCGTCGACCACTATGTTACTGACCGTGAAATACTGCATGTGAATTTCCAATTCTCCATGAAGACCCTGGTTCAAGTCCTGGTGATGACAGTCAATTTTTTTCCAATTTTTTCCCCTTTTCCATTCCGTCAACTAGTGAATATCTCCATGAAGACTTGTTGATTTGGTGACTTCATGTTCTGAATCTCAGCGAGGTTGATACTGTTTTCTATAACCTTTACTGTGTCCTATGTTTGTGATTACAGGGTCGACAAGGTAGATCCGGCCAAGCTGGCGACCCTGGTCCTATTGGACCTCCTGGTAGACCGGGACGCAGGGTAGGTAGTCATGTGATTGCATGTGTATATGGGTGTGTGTGTGTGTGTGTGTGTGTGTGTGTGTGTGTGCGTGCGTGCGTGCATGCGTGTGTGTGTATGTGTGTGTATATGTGTGTTTGTGTGTGTGTGTGGGTGCGTGTGTGTGTGTGTGTGGGTATGTGTGTGTGTGTGTGGGTGCGTGTGTGTGTGCGCGCACGCGCGCGCGTGCGTGCGTGCATGTGTGTCCACTTGTATGAACATTGTATGCATGTGGATCTTGTTGTCTGCATCTGCTTGCAATAGAGCACAGAACCATCACAGACAGGCTGGTGAGCTCTGTGCATGATCTTTTTTTAACCCTGACATTTCAATTTCACCATCTCTCATGGCCATTTCGTGTCTCTACTGTATTTTTTTCAGGACGGCACACTAGCAATAAAATTTGAAGTCGGCCTACCGGTAAGCATTGACATGATTTGAGTTTGTACTTGGCTGTTTCTCTTCCGTTCTCTCCAACTCCATGGCTTCCATGGCAGTTGATGATAGTTTCAGATCACTAGTGCTCAGTGTTAGTTTTGTTTGTTTCGTGAGCTTGGTTTGGTTCTGGGTTACTAAATTATCGTGGTATGCTGTGTGTGTCTGTCCGTCTGTCTATGTGTGTGTGTGCGTGTTGGTGTGGCTGGCTGGTTGGCTGGCTGGCTGGCTTGCTGGCTTGCTGGCTGGCTGGCTGGCTGGCTGGCTGGCTTGCTGGCTGGCTGGCTGGCTGGCTGGCTGGCTGGCTGGCTGGCTGGCTGGCTGGCTGGCTGGCTGGCTGGCTCACCTTTAGCACTGGTTCTGCGTTTTTTCTCTGTTCTATGCATGAGGCATATTACTTTTGCTCATCAATCTTTTGAACATTGTCTCTGCTGTTGTTGTGTGCTTCATAGGGTGACCGTGGCCCACCAGGCAGACCAGGAAACCCAGGAACACCAGGATCTCCTGTAAGTCAGCACGGAAAGTGAACCGCATGTCCGCGTCTTTCCCGTTGTGGTTGCTGTTAATATTATGGGTATATGGTTAGTGCACACCCCATTTTTCGTTGTGCCATTGATGTCTGAAGGAATTCTCTCCAGTAGCACTGCCCGAGCACCCCTCCCCGCTTGCTTCACTGTCACTCATGATCTTGTTGTTCCTCTTTTTGTTGTTGTTAGGGTGTCCGCGGTACCGATGGTCGTCCAGGTTCTCCTGGAGTTCCTGGATCAATTGTAAGTGCTCGTATGTATGCCCCGCGTGAGAGAGAGAGTGTGTGTGTGTGTGTGTGTGTGTGTGTGTGTGTGTGTGTGTGTGTGTGTGTGTGTGTGTGCGTGCGTGCGTGCGTACGTGCGTTTGTGTGTGCTTGCGCGTGTTATGATACATGGTGCTTGCAGCACACTTTCTCTCTTGCTTCTTTCTGCCCTACAGCTTTTAAACGCCAACGGGCTTGATAATTGTGGTGAAGTTTAGCATGAAGTAATTCATCCGGCAGACTACCTGAGCTTTGCTTTGCTATTGAAATTACTTCCACTGTTTGTATGTTTATCTTGTAGGGTGAGCCAGGCATGCGTGGTCTTCCTGGATTGATGGGCGAACGGGGCGAGCGTGTAAGTACCAGCGATGAACTAGTGCTAGATTGTTGTGTAAACTGTTTTCAAGAAGTATCCTCGGTAGATCGGTTGCACAATGAACCTAGGTGTAGAGAGGATGCACAAAACTGTAGGAGGAATGAATGTTGCACTGTTTTAAAATCTGCAAAGAGTGAAAGTCGCTTTTACAAAGCATCCATGTGGTCCAGGAAAGTGTGTACAGATGACATCCGATTGACAGTGTACACACGATCTATACACATGCTTGGAGATCACTGTGCTGCTGGATTTGGTGTGTGTGTGTGTGGTGCAATATTTGTAAAGCTCAAACTTCATGTGTGTAGTTTTATGATTGTTTGAAAAATGCACACACTTGTACTGGAGTGGTGTTGAAATCTTTGTACTTTCTTTCCTGTTTACAAGTCATATTCTGTCATGTTGTCCCTTTTGACAGCTGTCATTTCTCTACTATTCACTGTTATTTTCTGAGTTTATTGTGATGTGTGTGTGTGTGTGTGTGTGTGTGTGTGTGTGTGTGTGTCACGCTGGCAGACACGCCCACAGACACACGGACACACACACACACACACACACACACATGGTAGAGATAGAGACAATTGAGAGGTTGAGTGTGCTTTCATGAAGGCTGTGGCACTGCCAGTCACAACTTGTTGTTCACTTGCATACTTGTACTGTGCCTAACAGGGACAAACCGGAGTAAATGGACTAGATGGCAAGCACGGACCCAAGGGCTTCAAGGTAGGCTTCCAATCGATCATTTTCGAATGATACCAGGACATTTCCTTCTTGTGCTTATAGATTTCGGCCGATAACATGGATCATTGTGCCATGACGTGCTCTGCAGTGATGGTGATGGTGCTGGTGGGGGTGGGGGGTGCTGGTGGTGGTGCTGGTGGTGATAGTGGTGGTGCTGGTGCTGGTGCTAGTAGTGGTGGTGCTGGTGGTGATGGGGGGGGGGGGGGGGGTGTGAATGGGAGGGGTGGTATAGCCTGGTACAACTCATGCTGTTGTGAAGTATCTCTAGGGTATTTAGTTGAGTAGTGGAGGAGACCGGGCGTGATGTTTCATCAATTTTGTGTATGTTTGTGTCGTCACGGGTTTGAAACCGTGAACGAACTGCCTCTACGCTCCTCGCCACGCCACACGCACAACATGTGTGTGTTTGTGTGTGTGTGTGTGTGTGTGTGTGCGTGCGTGCGTGCTTGTTTGTATGTGTGTGCATGCACATCTGTGTGTTTGTGTGCGTCCCCGTAGGGTGAGCCCGGCATCAGTGGCAAGGACGGTAACATGGGGGATCCTGGCTTGAAGGTAAGTGCCACTGACAGTGAGCCACTCTAGCAAGCAGGTTCAGTCATCCCTGGTTATCGCAGCTTCGGAATTGCTGAGTGGCGGACTTAAGAGGCAAAACATCACAACTGGGTGGTAGCTGCGCCCTGTAGTGGTCGTAGATCATGCTCACAAAGTTCTTTTGCCTATACGACGTACGGCGAAACTCTACAAAGGTGAAAGCGCACCCGCTAATACTGTCGACGTCCCTGCAGAACAGTTGTATTAGGAGCAGTCTGGCAGTCAGTGTGGCAAATTGGCGGCACAACCTGTCATTTTCCAAAGTTTTGTCTTATCGTCATATGAACTTGTGAGAAGATCTACAATTGCATGTGTAGGTGAAAGAGAAATACTTGTCCTCATGAGGGCAAGTGTGGAGAAGGGTAATGTAGATAGCATCTCTGTAGCTGTTGCTACTTCTCTGCCATCTCCATTGTGTATTGCAATTGTGGTTCTTGACTTCCGTATCTGGACACTGGTTAAGTTAGTTGCTTTGCCATGTATAGTTCTTATTCAGGGATGTTCTGTTTTGTTGTATGTGTGCGTGTATCTGTCTGTGCATATGTCTATCTGTCTGTCTGTCTGTCTGTTTCTTTGTCTCTCTGTTATGACATCAGGGCACAGCTGGTGTAGCTGGAAAGGACGGTCTTGACGGAGACAATGGCGACCCCGTAAGTTTGTACACGTATCCGTGTAGGAATTGACTGCTTTCGGCAAGCGCTGGTCATGACGACTCTACCAATTACTTTATTTTCTGGTCCTCGTCCAGCGATTGCCACAGGACTCTTGTCTGCATCAGCACTCTACAATTTTACAATTTTCACAGTAGTGAACTTAAGTTCAGCATGGATCATTGTGGTTCAAGCCTATTTTCTGAGCAGGTTACATTTTGTTCTTCTGCTGCTGACAATGCTATTACGATACTTATTTTCTGCCCGGTGCCACTAGATAGATCACTGGCTATTACAATGCTTATGTTCTGCCCGGTGCCACTAGATAGATCACTGGCTATTACAATGCTTATGTTCTGCCCGGTGCCACTAGATAGATCACTTGCTATTACAATGCTTATTTTCTGCCCGGTGCCACTAGATAGATCACTTGCTATTACAATGCTTATGTTCTGCCCGGTGCCACTAGATAGATCACTGGCTATTACAATGCTTATGTTCTGCCCGGTGCCACTAGATAGATCACTGGCTATTACAATGCTTATGTTCTGCCCGGTGCCACTAGATAGATCACTGGCTATTACAATGCTTATGTTCTGCCCGGTGCCACTAGATAGATCACTGGCTATTACAATGCTTATGTTCTGCCCGGTGCCACTAGATAGATCACTGGCTATTACAATGCTTATGTTCTGCCCGGTGCCACTAGATAGATCACTGGCTATTACAATGCTTATGTTCTGCCCGGTGCCACTAGATAGATCACTGGCTATTACAATGCTTATGTTCTGCCCGGTGCCACTAGATAGATCACTGGCTATTACAATGCAGGGATGAATTTATCCGGTATCGCATCGCAGTTTGCTACGCAAAATCGATCTACTGCTACTCAAAAATGACAGTGACACGCAGAAAACTGCCATACATACATGTACAGGCTACTACTATTCATGCTTTTTGTAGCTTACACCAGATTCTGCGTAGGAAAAACTGCTATGCAAAAACATGGCAGTAAATTCATCCCTGCAATGCTTATGTTCTGCCCGGTGCCACTAGATAGATCACTGGCTATTACAATGCTTATGTTCTGCCCGGTGCCATATTACAGTGAATGTTATATTGCTCATTTCTGTTGCTCTTTCTTTCTCTTTGCCTTCTCTCTTCTCCCCGTAGGGCCAGAACGGTGCTGACGGAATGCCTGGAAACCGTGGAATCCCCGTGAGTGCTCGCTGTCATGCGAAATAACATGCATGCCTTCGAAGCTGTTCCACTCAGTCCTGTATTGTTATGATAGATACTGTATCTTTGGAAGACATGACGTGAATGGTCTGAGATTAATGGACTTGTTCAGCTGGTGGATCTTTCGGTGCATTAATTGGTATTGGTGTATCAAGTGTGTCCCACGTCCCGATAACCAATGTTTTTTTTCCTAATCTTACAGGGCACTCCTGGTGACCGTGGCCCAGACGGTATCTCTGGACCCAGCGGACCACGTGTAAGTTATCTCGCTTGGAGACTATTAAGCGGCTGTGTGTTCCTCGGCTAGGTGTGTGTGGGAGTGTATGTGTGTGTGTGTGTGTGCGTGCGCGCGTGTGTATGTGTGTGCCGTTCTGGCTGCATGTCTGTGCCTGTTAGACATAGTCGCTGCAGTGCCTAATATGTTTTGTGTTGTGCTGTTCCTGTCCTGCAGGGACCTCGCGGAGAAGATGGATCACCCGGCGCTAAAGGACAACGTGTAAGTGTTCTCCTTGCATGGTCTCTTCATTGTCATGTGTACATCGATTTCTGATTGTGTATGAAATAGATATCTTCCATGGCTGGCAATTTTAAGGTATAATATAAATGAGCGCTTTTTAGGAATGGCAACGTCTTTACTCTTGTATTTGACTTTGAAAGGCTTCACGTGACATGTAGACGAACAATTAACACGTGGACTGTACACATTTTCTAATATACCCTGCACTATTTCATCTTTTTGCTTCTCTCACTATTATCATTATTTGATGAATGGGTAGGCGAGTACACTCTGGAATGCCTGATAGCTGAACTGTACTAGTATGGGTTGATTCATTGTGTGATGAGTGAACTCGTTTGTACAGAGGTGGCACTACTATCGTGTCTACAGGGTGTATGTTGTTTTTGAATCTCCTTGTACTTGTGTTTTTGTCCATGCAGGGAACTCCTGGCAGCCACGGTTCACGCGGCCTTGCCGGTCCAGCTGGACCCCTTGTAAGATACGAAGCGGTTTGGTATTGACTCGGTCTATTGATGTTGGTGATGGCAATATTTGGCCTTCCTTTCGTTTCCTTGGCTGGTTGATGGTGATCTGTGTTACATGGTGCAGTGCACAGACATCTTATACCTGTGTGGTTATGGGTGCGAGGAGTATTCTGTGCTGAGAACATTGAAACAGCCAGACTGCAATGGGTGGCTGTGTTAGAAAGAACGGTACTTCCCTCAGCCTCATTCTGTTCTAACATGTACTGGAAAAGGCAGTTGATGCCAGCATGTATACTGAGATCAGTTTAGAAATACAATGTAGAAGGTAATCTGGTCAAAGGTGGAGGAAAGGACCTGTTTTTGCAGACTGTTTCTACACCGGTCCATTGCTGGGTATGTGGCACTGTGAGACTGTCTCTTTGCTTCTCAATGGAACTCAGCACTGTTGTTCACCAGTTCCCTTGTGTTACGGTGTGTGTGTGGCTGATGTTGATAGGGTTCCTCTGGCGTGCCTGGCAGACAAGGACCTCGCGGTGATGCTGTAAGTAGCCCAAACTCAACAGCTTGCTCTCCTTTGCGCTGTCGTCGTTACTCGTTCTCATGCTGTGTGTCCATGGCTGGTCGGCCAAAGCAGACGTTTGATAATAGTGGTGACCGCGGGTGAGCAGGGTACATTTTGCTTCCACGTCGCTTGTTTGTGCATACATGCTTACTTTCTTGTGTGTGCACGTGCGTTTGTTTATGCGTTGGTTCATTAGGGCCTACCTGGTCTACCCGGCCGTCCCGGTGCTGGTGGTTCCGGTGGCACACCCGGTTCCTCCGGTGCTCCCGGCGTCAACGGTGTGAAAGGAGCTACCGTAAGTGACAATGATGATGTCGCTCTGTGTCTGCTGGCTGAGTACACAGAGAGCGCAGTACGCCTTAACCTGCTGGAATGCGCACTGTACCTCTTGTGTATGCTGTAGTACTAGAGAGGGAGTACAGCTGTATGTCTAGAGAGGGAGTATAGTAAAACTCCCCTAATCTGGATGCCCCTGATCCGGGCGCGTCCCGTCTACCGGGTACTTTCTGACCCATCTAGAGTCACAAAAAATCACTTATCAGGGAAAGACGGCCCCAAAAACTATTGATTCGTGTAATAACATTTGCTTGCATGCAGTAAGTATGTAAGTTCTGAGTTACGGGCAATTGCTAGTTACGGGCACTGCTCGGTTCCAACTTACCTGGATGAACGGAGTTTTACTGTGTTGCACTATCCAATGGGTCATGATGGATATGCCCAGTTTGCTGGAAGCGCTTACATGCCATGTTGCAGAACTCGGCGCAATCGTTAAGAGCAGTGGGCAATAATCCGGTGACTTACATTTCTATTACCTGCAGCGTTGAGGGAGTTGTGCTTCCTGTGCTTTTCGTCTGGCCAGTTTATGTTAACGTACATCACGTACACTCTGAGTGTTTCTGGTAATAAATTTACGATGTGTGTGTTTTCCCATGGTGTTTGCAGGGATTGTCTGGCAGATCTGGCGCAACAGGACCTCAAGGCTATCCAGGCGACGCTGTAAGTGTGTTTGCGTTGGCTGCCGTCACGTTGTCTGCTGCGAGCCACGTGCACCGCTCCGAGAAAAGTGTCATTGTTGTATAGCTCCCCGTTTGCCTTGTTTGAGCTTGGTTCCCAGTGTAGGAATTCTTACACCCATGTTTCTACTAGTCATACCCATGTAGAAAATTACAACCAAGTGATGTAAAGGCATGCTTTATACCGCATTATGCTGTACCGTGCTGCCATTGGCTTTACACCTCAAGTCTTTGTAGGGTTTGACCAATTTACTCTGAACTGCAGAAGTTTGTCTGCACTTTATAAGTGTGAGTGTAGCCATCAGCCATCTCTGGATGAAGTCATGCTTTGTTGCATAGTATTACTCCTATCAGTAAAATGTTGCTTTCATTGTTGAAATGGAATATTGTGACTGACTGACTGGCTTACTCAACAATTCTTTTTGCTTTGCTTTCTGCTTTGTTGTGTGCAGGGTGATGTTGGACCTACAGGACCGCACGGACAGAAGGGCGCACCCGTAAGCCACCGCTCCTTGTTCCTCTCCGTTGCTAGTCGTGTATGGCGTAAAACGTTGAAGGGTGGACTCGCACTGTGGACATTTCGTATATGAATACCAATGTGTATCGAATCTTAAATGAAAGTGATGGTTTGTAGTTGGTGATGGGACTTTGAATCTGTAGATCACCCGTAGTCAGTCATTTTGTTTTCAGTGTCTCTAAGCCATGCAACTGCTTTGCTAAGTGGACGTCCCTCTATTCCTTGACTTGGTGTGTTCTGTATTCTGTGTGCAGGGTGAAGTCGGCATTGACGGACCTAAAGGCAGCAAGGGCTCGATTGGATTCCCTGTGAGTACCCGGTAGCTGACAAGCCTTGACACATGGAGGCCATTGGCAACCAACAGAAAAAGACAATTACAAGTGTTTCCTGTGCTTTCAGAATGCATGGTTTCCATTGCTCGTATCAGTGCACCCGGAAGGCTGCAGCAGTTGACAACTTGCAATTCACTTTTCTTGCTTCTCTCATCCATGGTTGTCGCACCGGCTTGCATACGTGCGCGCTGGTGTACTGTAATACTGTATGCGTCTTCCCGTTGTCACTTCATGGGTGTGTCCACCTTTGCTCGTGTGTGTGTGTGTGTGTTTGTGTCACTGTGTGTTTGTGTATGTGCATGTGTGTGTATGTGTGTATGACTGTGTAGGGACCAACTGGAGCACAAGGATCCAGCGGACAGGCCGGCAACCGTGGTGTATCCGTAAGAGAAATTGGCACACTGTCTTGTTGAACAGATTTGGTGCTTGATGTCTGCACTACGCAGCCTGACAAAGAGGGATAGGATGGTCGCCAAGACCATGCCTGGGATACAGAGGGTACAGGCTTCAAGTCCTTCTTGGAATCGCTGAAGGATTTTTCCTTTAGGAGCTGTACCTCCACCTTGATATTTGAGAGTGGTGGCATTCCTGCAGATGCACAAGAGTCAGTTTGACTGGTTCTAAACCGAACCGGAAAATCGTATTGCCAATAAAACAAACTTTTAAGTGTGTTTTTATTTTTCACATATTAAACTCCTTCGATATCAATTCAAAATAACTCCTTCTACTTCATTTTGTAGGGGAGGTAGTAACTGTTGCTAGCATGCTGTGTTCTGATGGCAATTTTAGCCTGTTATTGGTCTGTGATGAACAGTATTCTGATTTGTTTGTGCTGATCAAAATATTCAGGGAGATGCCGGTCCCCCTGGCTACCCCGGAATGCCCGGTCGCCCCGGACCCCAGGGGCCCAAGGGCCCAGCCGGCTACGATGGCCACCCAGGCAGACCTGGCGCAAAGGTGAGATGCCAGTAGTGCCTTCCATGCGCTGTTGCATGTATACACGGTGCATTGTTTTGGGCAAGTATGGGCACGTTTGGTATGCCATTACTTTCGACGCCCTTTTGGACAGTCATCGTATCCCGGCTCGAATTTCTGGACATGGATTTGCTACGCACATACGGAAGAAGTGATGCAGAGTGTACAGGCTGTGTGTACAGGCTGTGTGTACAGTCAGCCTTGCAAATAACGACCCTTGATCGTGAATGGAAGTTTTCGTTATTCACGAGTTGTCGCCACTCGTGAGGCTGAGTGTATGAAGCCAGGTGGTCACTGGGCCTGAAGATTGTGTCATTATTCACGAGTTGTTGTTACACCAAGGGGTCGTTATTCACGAGGTTGACTGTAACAGTGTTCGTCACAAGTGCATTCTGTACATGTACATGTATGTATACACACACACATGTACTCGTATCCTGCTCTACTTGACAGAGTGTTCTCTTTGTTTATTCCACAGGGCCCCCATGGAATCCAAGGCGAACAAGGAATGCGCGGCGAAACTGGCGAAGACGTAAGGTTCCAGTAACTGCTCGGCTGGCATGTAGAGGAACAGAGCCAGAGATATGCTGCATCATCATCAATTCAAACTCTGTCACGCACATTGATATTGTATCGTGCAGGTGCAAAACATGTTCTCCTCATCCATCCGTTGAGCAATCTCCTTGCAGTGCATCCCATAATGACTATGATTGTACATGTCTTCGCTTAGCCTAGCCTCCATACAATAGTAGGGCCATTGGAATTAGTCGAATCTGGCATTTGACATTTGACAACCTGACATTTCATTTTCTGCAATTTGGTTTTGTGTTCTCATAGTGCATGTGCATGTGCCTCTGACATGTTTTTTGTGTGTGTTTTGTGTGTGTATGTGTATGTGTGTGTGCGTGTGTGTGTGTGTGTTTGTGTGTGTGTGTGTTTGTGTGTGTTTGTAGGGCGAGGCCGGTGCTCCTGGCTATGATGGCACAGCTGGACGACGTGTACGTAGTAAATTGATGCATCCGTTTTTAGCAACTTGACGCCTTGTAATTGCTGGACTGGCGGGTTAATTCTTCTTTGAACACGTCATCAATGTTTGGAAGGTGACCATGCTGTTGGAGCCCGTCGAATCTATATTGATCACCAACGAAATAGTGGTCTGGAGATGCAATAGCTTTGCGCTGCTGGTGGTTTTGCACTGCTGATGGCTTGGTGTGAGCCGCCATAGCAATGTGATCTGATGCGGAATTTCTGGCATTTCTCATACTCTATGTCTACATTGTACGGTTGGTGTTTTTGCCGATACAGGGACCCCGAGGCTACCGTGGTGTGCCTGGCTCTGTTGGCGTTCCTGGCGAGAAGGTAGGGTCCTCATTCATTGCATGCTGCAGCCTGCAACAGCTAACTCATTTTGGATTGATTGAGTCGATTCCACCTATGCATTTTCACTCATGATAGGCATCAATTTGCCTTTGGAAAATCAACCAAATAAAATGAATTGAAATGAAATGAACCGCATGGCCAAAGCAATATTCAACTTAGCACATAGTGTATGTAGCTGAATAGTTGGCGAGTGCAGCATCGAGTCATGCATTCATTGTCCTTCCGTGTGTTCCTCTGCAATCATGTATTGTATTGGAGGCATGACCAGCCGTCCGCTGTGCATACGTAGCACATAGTCATTGATGCATTTGTCACTGTGTGGCTGTGTAGTATAGTCGAGTATCAGCATGGACTTGATGCAACGGGATGTTTGCTATTCTCGATTTGTGTCCTTGAATGTAGGGTGAACGCGGTCGCACTGGTCCCCAAGGTCCTTCCGGTCAACTCGTGAGTTTATTTGATTGTCTGCTATTTCTGGTACAGCCATTAGTTAGTGCGTTCGTGCGGGACAATTCCTGCTGTATTGTAAGCTAGAGCCCAACTGCTGACTTGGGCGTTTGATGGGTGTTTCGATTGGCTAGGCATACTTGAAAATTGTACCTGAACTCAAATGCGAAATTATTGGTGCTATTACATCCGTGATGATAAGCGATTCCTTCATATCCCACGCAGGATTTCACAAGACTTTGTTTATCGCATCTGGAGTGCATTCTGGAGTGCAAAAAAAATAACTGACACGACCTCGATGGGACTCGAACCCACAATCTCCAGCTCCGGAGGCTGGCGCCTTATCCATTAGGCCACGAGGCCAGTTAGGTGTTGGTGTCATGGCGTAGCATAGCACTTCAAGGCAAGGCACTTTGCCGGATTTTTTTTCGGAAGCCGAGTCGAGGCACACTTCCACCCAAGAACCACCTTGACGGTTCAGTACTTCCATAGCACACCGTAGCATAAGTACATTATGCATGTTCAAAGTCAACCAGCCACCCTGGCAAGATAAGGATAACACAGTTGACATGTACAATCAATGTCGATAATGACTGCTTTAATACTGGACTAATGGCCCTTAGGGCTTCTGCGTCAGATTCCCTTGATGAGCATCTACATGAAAAAGTAAACATTTTGTGCACCTCCTATACTCTGTGATATTTACTTTGACGTTTACTAGCCTTTGTATTAGAATAGGGTGGGATAAGTATGTGAGGAATACAATGATATTGAATATCAAAAAGCATGATTGAAGGTCAGTATTTGATAGCGCTGAAATGATTGTTGTGGCTGCGCCGCCAAGAGTATTGCTATAATGTGACTTGTGTTTGGTTTTGCTTGTTTTCGTCACTCGATTCTTCCTGCAGGGCTCTGCCGGTCCCCCCGGCCAATCCGGAA